ATGGCCCAACCCTTGGGGATATCTGAGTCAGTACTAGAAGAAGTGAGAGAGGGTAGAGTGTGGGCAGAGTGCTGTGGAACTTTGGAGGGTGGAGCAGTGCCTGCTGAGAGGAACTGGGAGGTGAGCAGTCTTGAAGGCACAGGATTTGCTAGGCAGGTGTGATTTTTAAGCTGAGAACCTCAAAGTGAATGTAATGTGGAAATTTAGGCATTAAGTCAAATCTAGCAGGTTAAATCCTCTTTTATTCGTTCTTTAAGTCAAATACTTGGATGGCTAGGGGAGCTTGTAGGTTCTGCATTCTGGGCTCTTGCAATAGGCAGGCGGGAAGCCCTTGACTGTCATTTGCCTATTTGCTCTCAGGTCTCCTACCTGCCCTTCCTGTGTTTGGTTCTATATTGCAAGGAACTCATTTCCCAGGTTCTCTTGCAAACTGGCTGTTGGTAAGTTTGACCAAGTGTGGAGCACTGGCAGAAGATTCAAGGAGGAGGGATGAAGGCATGCTTTTCGTCCCCAGACATGTCTCCTCCACGGCCTCAACTTTCACTCGGTTGACCCTGCCTCCTGGTCCCCTTTCTGCTGGTCAACTCCACCATGGTCTGGCTCCCATCAGAGGGGCTGTGGCCTTAGGCTCTGGTGACCCTGTCTTCCCTCTTTGTCCCTGCAAACTGCTGTTGTAATTTCCAGACTGCCTCACCATCCTCTGGCTTCTCGGCCTTTCCATCTCTGTGTAGAGAATTCCCTCTGTTATTATTTTAGTTAAAGTAACTAGAAAGGTTTTTGTTTTTCTGACTAAATTTTGAGTGATGCAAAGCCAAAATACACTTAATTGATTTGAGATTATTGTCCAAGAATATTCGTTTTCACTGGGCATTATAACTTGAGATCATTTGTTTCTTTTCATTCATCAAAGGAGAGTTGAAACACTAGTCCTAGTCTTGTTAAGACCCCTGAGAGTTGACTTTTCTTGTTCGGCTGAGACCTCTCTCTGTCCCTTCTTGTCAATGTTTGTTTGTTTTCCAAAGCAGAGAGGCAAACAAATTGAGGAGAACTTGACTGAGAACTTGTTATACAAGGACTGCTTTAGATTATGCTATTTGTGGGGAAAAGTAACAGTGGGTGAATTGTGAAAAGGAGTCATTTATTTGACTTTTAGAACCTCATTACTTTTGTCACCAAATGGGGCCACATAATACATTTTCAGTAAGTAAATATGCAGGAATTAGTGCCTAAATAGAGGTACAAGGTACATGAGAGCTTAGGGAAGGCAGAGGTTAATTCTTAGGTAGAATGGGCAAAGGCTTTTACCTACACCACATCATCTGCCAGTTCTCCAAAGTGGTACTTTCTCTGCTTTCCATTGTCTAATTAGATTCCACTGGCTAATTAGGTCCAGAGGGAAGAGGCCATCCATGCCTTGAAAATAAGCCCCTCCCTTTAGATGATGGTGATCAGTATGCTGTGGTAATTATAATTGGTTGCATGAGGCAGACACTCACTGTGAAGAGTGGTTGGCTTGCTGTCCTTACTTGATTTCCTTGGGTGGCTCCTGATAACATCGCAGAGCATTTTGTTGATGTTAGGATTGCAGTGAGGGTTAAATGAGATGTGCTTGTAAAGGCATAGCGTAGCATCTGGCATAGAATAAATGTCCAGTAATTGCTGGCTATTTTTGTATTTTTCACTATCATCATCTCCTTTATTGAGTATGTACTTTGTGTTAAGCATTTGACATGTGTTATCTCATTTAATCTCCCCCCAAACTCTAGGAGGTGGGAAATATGATGATCCTCATTTCACAGATAAGAGAAGGGGGCCCAGGGCTTGGGGAGGGGAGAGGAGTGGCTTGTTCAAGGTCATAAAACTGCTAAGAGGTGGAGCCAAAACTTGAACCCCCGTCTGTTTGATTGTAATGTATTTTCTTAAACTATACTATCTGGATTGCTGCATTAATCACAGGTCATTGAAAAATACATTTTGGAAAGTAGCATACGGTAAGCAGGCATTGAGGCTGTCTGTATTTGCTACAAATTTAGCATGGTGATGAGAAAAAAGTTCAGATTGGTTTTTTCCATCAGCACCGTTTCTTGTGCGTTCCTTGTGTAAAAAGCTCTCTGTGGGGAGCCTTGGTTAGAGAACAGAGAAATAAAGCACAGATCTCAGTGAAGGGCATCTGAGCCAATCTCACAGAACAGTGAGTTGAACATGCACATTAAGCTGACACAGGCTGAAAACTCACGGACTTGGGAGAGAAGATAGAGATGCCTCCCATAGTTGGTTCCTGCACCTCTACCTGGTTTAGGAGATAGGGTTTGGTATCTAACAGATGCCTGGGTTCAAACCTCGGTTTTGCCTCTCTCCGCAGTATGGCCTCCAGTGAGTTCCTCTGCCTCTTTGACCACAGGGTTCTCCTGCATAAAAGGGAGGTAGTGATGGCGACCTCACAGAAGTACTCTGAAGGACATTGTTTCTTGGTTCTTAAATATATTATTGTGCAGGATAATGTCAGTATACTTAAAATAACCCCAAACAAACACACAAATAGCCCTTGGGCTTATAGATTCAGCACTTGTAGATTTCCTACAAGGTTCCCCCCCCGCCCCCCCACCATGAGTCTTTGGTTATCTGGCAGATGCACAAAAGGAAATTAATTGTACGTAGCTGCCACCGTGGAATACCCAGAAAGTCACCTTTGAGGAAATCCAACACTTCCAAGAAAAAACGGAGACACAAAGTTCAAAAAAAGAAACCTCTGTGGTTGGCCAGTTGCCCATCCTGAAGTCCTAAAGGGGTTCTGTCATTATTTGGAACTGACTAAAGTCCCTGAAGTGCCTCCAAATGGAGAGGTTGAGGAGGACCTGCAAAAGAGAGCAGCTACGATGGGTGGAGGATGAGTGGAGGTGGGAGTGGAGGCACACGCTCCCTGGGCCTGGGGACTCCTGCAGGCAGGTTGAGGGTGGAGTACCCAGGGCCTAGTTCTCCTGTCCACATCCAGTCTCCATTCAGATGTCTGGAGTGACTCTGAGCTTCAGGCCAGCACTCTCATCCTAGCAGCTTCCTATTGTGTTTTTTTCTACCATTGATGAAACTTGGGTCAGGATGCTCTTCAGTTCATGAAGTAATATTCCAGAATGTATTTTCCAAGAGATCCAGTCCATCGAACATGCAAAATCCAAGGCCTTTATGGTGTGTTAAAATATGTTGAACTCATTTTAAGATGGTATGTACGTTTTATTCTAGAAAGCTGGTTTTCTCAGTGTAATTGCTTTGGCAAGACGGTCATGTGATGGATGTGGAAACATGATGTGATGCAGTGACATTTCATGAGTTGTAGGAGGAGCCAGTGTTTGATGTGAAAGCTAAAAGGGAAGGGAAGGGGAAGGTAGCAACCTCTGGGTCACCCAAGGGCCTGATTCTGAGGTGGTTACACCTCTAGAGGCTGCCAGCATTCACAGGTGAGAACATAGGCCCTTTTTATAGTTGGGTAGGCTTGGGAGTCTGCCAAAACTGAAACAGTATGGAGAAGCTGAAAAATTAAGTCTTAGATCTAATGGAAAAAGCGTTCCAGTTGGAGTCTGGAGAGCTTTGAGTGCTGTCCCTACCACCAACTATGTGACCTCTGACCTCTTTAACCTTTAGTTTCCTCATGTGAATAATGGTACTGATGCGAAACAGTACTACGGATTGTTACCAGCTGTTAAAATGCTTCACAAATGTTTGGGTAGCTTGTACTTCTATTTGTATTTGTACTCTAATGATACTATTACATTGAAATTTTATTCTACATCATTAAGCAAGTGATTCTACTCTCAAACTACAGTTTATCAAAGCCAATATATTTGTAGAGGGGAGCCATCCCCTGCTCCAGTGGCAAAAATACCGATTCGAGGGTGAGAGAACTCAATTTTTTTTCTCCTGCTTTCTGTGCAGTTTGGAGAGCTATGATCAAGTTTTTAAAGATGAGTGAATTATTCACTGGAAGAAAGGGATGCTGGAAGCTGCATATTGAGTTGTATTTTCATTTCCTCTCAGATGTTAAGATCCTACTGTATGGCATTTTACAGGACTTCTGTTTGTAAATTGTTGCAGTGTTGCCTTGCCACCCATTCTGGAAGTAAAGCAGATAGACAGGGCCGGTGTTTATGGTGGGTGTTGAGGTCTTTTTGGCACATGCCGCTCCCTGCACATGTGCTTCCACCACTGCATGAGCCACCCCGTGCTGGGTGGCTGGGGCCCTTGAAGAGCGAGCTGAGGCTGCACTTACTGCCCGTGCAGCAGTGTCTTGGGATGGTGTTCTACCTGGGAAGGAAGTGCTGCTGCAAAAATATTTTATGATGCATGCCTTGTACAATCAGGAACCTTAGAAAGATGCAGAAATAGTCCGTGCTCGAGCTTCTGGTCCTGCACATGTCAGAGAATCAGCTAGTAAGAGGCATTTCACCAGAATGTATGTCCAGAGGAGCTCGGCTCTCTCCTGAGACAGACATTGCTTTGTTTCTCTCTCTCTCTGTTTCTGACTTTCTTTTCCTCTCATTCTTCTCTCTGTGTTTTTTCAGTCTCTAGGTTTTTTCCCTCCCTTTCACTTCTTTCTTTTCGTTTCTTTCCTTCTTTCCTTTCTCCCTCTCTTCCATCCTCACTCTTGCTCTTCCCTCTTTTGGGGTAGGGAGAGCTGAGGATCTGCTTGATGAGGTTGGTTGACTCTTCCCTCTGAGTATTCTTTGTGGGTTCTCCTGGCTCTGGCCTGAATCCTCCCATCCAAGGTGAACAGTGTATTCCTCTCCGGGAGCAGTAGGTATGGATTTTCAGTGACTGCTCTGTTGAGATGAGTTCATCTGACTGTGGAAAGGATACTCACTGGGAAGCAGAAGACTTTTCAGTCATCATCTTCTTCCACAAACCCAGAAGGTGGGCAGCTTTCCCCAGGGAGCTCTGCTAAACGTTTATCTCACTCATGGATTTATTCTTCCTCTTTGAGGACAAGGCTATTGTCTTTCTAATTATAGATCGAGGAAACTCGGCTCAACATTGACAAGATCTCAGAGCATGTGGAGGAGGCGAAGAAACTCTACAGTATCATTCTGTCTGCACCAATTCCTGAGCCAAGTGAGTGTTTACTCAGAGCTGAGTCACCCAACAATGATCCCTGGCACTGGGGCTGAGCCAGCCTTGTTTTCCTCCCTCTGTGACAGCATGGGAGTGTGTGCATTACATTACACCAATGTACATGTCCTCCCACCCCCCATTCTCCTTTGCCCTATCTGACTCACACTGCCCAGCCCCGGTCAGCTCTTCCCTTCACGTCCCACTTAATCCATTCAACGAAACCTTCCTCTACTTCCAGCTCCTCCCTCCCATGACTAGCAATGACTTCCTGCTTCTCACATACCTCATCTCTGTCACATCTCTGCACCTTTGCTTGTGCTGTTTCCCCTGCCTGAAATGCTTTCTCAGCCCCCTTTCTGAGTTCTACCTCATCAAGTCCATTTTTTTTCCGATGAGATGTTCCAAAATGGTTCACAGTCACATCTATCCCTCCCATCCCGAAACTCCTATTTGTTACCACCACCAAAGCAGACGTTTTCCCCCACTAATTGTTTCACATTTTTAGAGTAGGGTCTAGGGCTATATTTTAGGTTGCTTAAAGGCAAGGAATAAGCTTGATATTGTCATTTCACTCCTTAAATTTTTCAGTGGCTTTCTATTACCTTAAGATTAAAGTTGGGATGTTTTAGCAGAGCATATGGGAATTGTCTTGGTCACATTCTGGCTTCCTCTCCACTCTTTTCTCCTGCCATCGTTCCCCATGTGACCTGCACTGCAGCCAGACTCAATTGGGCTGTTCCCCAAATGCTTGTTGTCTCCTCATGTCTTTTACGTATTGTTCCTTCTCCCTAAGACTCAGCTTTTAGTCTCCTTTCTACCTCGTTAACTCTTAGTTCTTCTTCCAGATGCAGTCCTACTATCATCTGTCTTTAGAAGCCTTTCCAGATCCCTCCAGGTTGTGCGCGGGGCTCTTCATCACCACCCCATGCCCGCCTCGACCAGAACTCACACTTTACTCTGCACTTATATTAGAACTGTGTCCTTTGTCCCCCACTACACCCTGAACAGCTTGAAGGCAGGATCTGTATCTTTGCTCTGAGGTCTGAGTCTGTAGCTCAGTTCCAGACTTGTAGTAGGCGCCAAAGGATGGTTTCTGAATGAGTGGTCGTAGTTAATACTTATTTCGTTCCTCACATTTTAGGGTGGCGTTGTACACACAGTAGGTATGTCATAAATATTTGCTTGATTCTAAGTTGATGAGCCTTGGTTGAAATCTCTCTTCCTCAGAAGTCCCATAAGACCCTGTTCTGCCTTCTGAGCTGAAACCCTCATGGTAAACCAGACCATTTCCTCTAAAAGCCAGGTTCTCAAAATTGCGTGTGCTCGAGAATTACTTGGGAAGGCTTGTTAAAAAGGCAGAGTGTAGGGCTCCAACCCTGGGTGTTTTTATTCTATAGGTCTGAGATGGGGTGCCTGGGAAATGCCTTTTTTTCCCCTGCTTTTTTCTCCCCAAATCCCCCCAGTACATAGTTGTATATTGTAGTTGTGGCATGTGGGACTCTGCCTCAACATGGCCTAATGAGTGGTGCCATGTCCACGCCCAGGATCCAAACCCTGGGCCGCCGAAGCAGAGCATGCAAACTTAACCACTCAGCCATGGGGCCAGCCCCAGAAATGCCTTTTTCTTTTTTTTTTAAAGATTTTATTTTTTCCTTTTTCTCCCCAAAGCCCCCCGATACATAGTTGTATATTCTTTGTTGTGGGTCCTTCCAGTTGTGGCATGTGGGACGCTGCCTCAGCGTGGTTTGATGAGCAGTGCCATGTCTGCGCCCAGGATTCGAACCAACGAAACACTGGGCCGCCTGCAGTGGAGCGCACGAACTTAACCACTCGGCCATGGGGCCAGCCCCCGGAAATGCCTTTTAAAAACAAACTCTGTGTGATTCTAATGACAGATGTTTGGGGAGCAGACTGGGATCGATAATACTCTGGACCATGGGCACCTGAGAAGGCTCCCCCTCCTCTGTTGATATCGTAGCTCGTAAAGCAACCAGTCTCTTCTAATTGATTCCCCCTGCCTTCGTTTATCCAGAAACCAAGGATGACCTAGAGCAGCTCACGACTGAGATCAAGAAAAGGGCCAACAACGTCCGGAATAAACTGAAGAGTAAGAAGGGAACAGAGGGGACAGCCTCCCCACCTCCACCTCCCATCCACAGGGTCCAGCTCTTCTGGACTGAAACTCATGCTGATGGAAGGGACCCTATTTGTTCCATATTTCCTTGTGGTTTGGGCACTTTCCCTGGAATGACCTAGAAATTCTACCTTTTCCTGAATCATGACTGTAGTTGAAGGAGTCCAGAATTGAAGTTAGGAATAAAGTGCACTTTCAGCCTCTGAGTCTTTGTGTGACATGGTCCTTTAACTTAGTCCCTCTACTCTTTCTCTTACTGGTCCTGTTTCCCCAGCACTTACATACATATGAACAATAATGTTAGAGATCTATAGATGGCAGATATATTATTCAGTCTACAGATGTTTCTTGGTATGTCACCCTCCCATTACCCCCAACCCCACCCGCTCAATTTAGAGCATTGTTCAGTGAAGCCATGGTCAGCGGTTCAATTCCCCTGTGGGCCCAAAAGGTTTCTTAGTTCCCTGGCTGTAGCCTGCATTCCTGCCCAGTTGTATTTGGTGAATGCACGCTCAGCCCGATTTGAAAGGAGCATTGCTCAGCCCGATTTGTCATTTCTTCCCCCAAAACAAATCACAATGCCTGTTTTCATGGGGCTAGAGTTGGAGGTGATCAGTAAGAGCTTCCAATAATAGCAGTATGTGCCTGCCATTGTGTCAAACACTATGTACGTTCTCATTTAATCTTCACATCAGTATTGTGAGGGAGGCACTGTTGTTTATTCCATTTTACAGATTAGAGAACAGGAACATTAGAGAGATTAAGTGGCTTTCCCAAAGTCACATAGCTAGTAAGTGGCAGGGCAAGGATTCGAGCCTAGGTCTTTTGGTGACAAAGACTCATGCTAGTAACAACTGTGCTAAGATACATTCAGAGAAGACCTGGTAGTAGTGAGTGGTGTGGAATGCAAGTCCTGTGACTCAGATGTGAGCTGACCTTTTGAGATTGTACCTGCCTATTGTTACATCTCCGTGGGCTGGGTGTGTGAGAGTGAGCAAGGAGGTTCTCATGGAAAAGTGTGTTTCTTGAAAGAGAGCAGCAGACATGCTGCTAGAATAACCTTTCTCTTCTCCCCAGGCATGGAGAGGCATATTGAAGAAGACGAGGTCCGGTCGTCAGCAGACCTGCGGATTCGGAAATCCCAGGTAGGATTTTCCCTGGTCTAAACCATCTAGTCCAAACTTTTGTTTTATTTTATTTTAAATACAACTCTTATTTGGAACTCATGTCGAAGAATTGGTAAAGGGGAGCTGCCCGGGTTGAAACAGGGGATAGGGGTGGAGTCCAGTCCTTTTGGCTCCTCTCTCACACTCTCCTCCGAGGAGGCCCCTGAAGAACTTCCTAAGGCTCCCCAGAGCACATCTTACGATTTAGTATGTCTTCTTGTTTTATACGTGAGGAAATTGAAGTCTTCTCTCTAAAGATTGTTGGTCATTAGTTGTACAGTTTTGAGTTAGGCTCTTCAGCGGTCATTAAAGATATGATCCTTGTCCTTAAAGACCTGGCATGCTGTTCAAGTAGCATAAGGAAACTGTTACATAAGACCCAACAGGAGAGCACTGTAAGAAGACATAATCAAATGCATGGTGCTCTCAGCACTCAAAGGTCTTGGGAAGAATTGGGGGTAGGCAGAGGAGGCTGGGCCTTGGATGGGCAAGAGTGCCAACATGGACAGGCTTAGAGGGTAGAAGCGTGGAGGCAGAAGCCGTGTGTCTGAGTGTGTGTGTGTGTGTGTGTGTGTGTGTCTGTGTCTGTGTGTGTGTAGCAGCAGTGATGGGGGTGGGGGTGAGGGGCAGACATGAAGAGAACAGCCTGTCTGGAGAAAAAAGAACGTTGAGTTTTTGGTAGAGAATATAGTGCCATATTGCAGAGGTCTTTGACTCCTGGCCTAGGGAATTTGATCTGATCAAGTAGTCTGTATGCATTTAGTTCAGTCTGCAGTCTGTTAGGAAGATAATCTGGTAGCCATTTGAAAGCTGGATCAGAGTCAGGAAGAGGCAAGAGACAGGTGTGTCCCTGGTGGGACTTTTGCAATGATTTTCGTCTGAATTTGCATAGTAGTAGTGGGTTTGAAAAAACTATAAATATTGGTGATTTTCCAAAGGAGAAACCACTTGGGCTTGATGCTGAGAGGTGGGCAAGGAATAAAACTTATTATGAAGATTTGAGCTTAGGCACCCAGGGCTGTTGAGTGAGTGCATCTGGTTAGAAGCAAGAAAAGTTGGGAAGTTCAGTTTGAGTAAGAATTCAAGGATCTTTGGCAGGTATTGGATGTAGGAAGGGAGTCTGGCAGCTTCAGAAAGCAGGGCTCTGACATTCACAGAGATATCTCCTTTGGCCCCACAATTACTATATGAGGTCAGCGGGGCAGGTAAACAGATGCTGCAAACATGCTTTGGAAAGGCCAGCTGATTCTCCCAATGGTGTAAAGTTAGGAAGCCAAAATGCTGAGTCTTGTACCTGGTCTTTTGGTTCCAAGTCCAGTGCTGTCGTGGACTAGGCTCTGTGGGGGTGGGGGAAGGGTTCTGCAACAGTGATGGACTTTCCTTCTCTCTCCCCTCCTGGGGGCTTACTGCATCTGACACTGTTCCCACAGCACTCCGTCCTCTCCCGGAAGTTTGTGGAGGTGATGACCAAATACAACGAGGCTCAGGTGGACTTCCGTGAGCGCAGCAAGGGGCGAATCCAGCGGCAGCTTGAAATCAGTACGTGTTAGGTTAGAAGCTTGGCCTGTGCCTCTTCACTTTTTCCTGCCATGTGGTTGTCCGTCCCAAGTGGTGAGACCCCAAGAGAGGGAGCAGCACCCCTGCTTGTGGGTTCCACCTCATATTTTGTGCCCAAGCCCAGGACAGGCGTCATAGCACCTGCACATCCTCGATGCCGCGTCTTAGGCTGAAGGGGGACACAGGAATTTTGTTCCTGTGGGAGCCAGCATTTCCTCATACCTAGAGGGGAGACACTTGCTAAACGGTTGCTCTCCTGGGGACTCATGACATCTTTTTGCTGCCTTTTTGAGAGCAAAGAACATTTATGAAATAAAAGGTGCAGTGCTAATTGCTGTGAGGAATACAGAAATTAATAAAGCCATGCCCTCTAGGAATTTAGTCACATGGAATGCAGGGCCCAGCAGAGTGCAAGGTGCTTTAATTGGGGGAACTGTATGAGCAAAGACGTAGGCAGAAAAAAGCAGGTGTGTTCAGGAGTGGCAGGTTGTTCCAGGGCCTGGGAAAAGGGTGCATTTGGGAGTCAGCAGTGTGAAGTTAAGAAGGATCGAGGGAGGGCTCCCCCAGGAACTGGCTCCTTGTCCTGAGGGCCTTGGACTCTGTGGTGTAGTGAATGGGGCCAGTAAATGTTCTGAGCTGGGAAGGAATGTGGGCAGATAATGTGCTTCAGGAAGGTAATTGCTGACAGTATTAAGGATGGATTGGATTAGGGGAGAAATCAGAAGAAAGAGGAGTCAGGAGGCTATTGGGGGAGTGTTGTAAAGTCCATGGTCTTTACTTGTAAAACCCATGGCAAAGTTACCATATTCCTAATTTTCAGGGGACTTTTGAAAAGGTGTCCTTTGATCTTAGATTTGATGCTCTCCTTCTTGTGTTATAAAGCTGGCAAAAAGACCACAGATGAGGAGCTGGAGGAGATGTTGGAGAGTGGAAACCCTGCCATCTTCACTTCTGGGGTGAGTGACTTGCAAGCTGGGATGCACGCCCCTGTCACGGGGAAGGGAGGCCACTGTGGAGCTCCACGCAGTCAGCAAGTGAAGGCTGGGCTGCATTTGCGGGGAGGCAGGGGGTGCGAGGAGCTCTGTAGGCGTGTTTGTGAGGCCATGGCGGGGATAGTGGCTGATGGTCTGTCTTCCTGTGGCCTGTTGTAGATCATTGACTCTCAGATTTCTAAGCAAGCCCTCAGTGAGATCGAGGGACGGCACAAGGACATCGTGAGGCTGGAGAGCAGCATCAAGGAGCTTCATGACATGTTTATGGACATCGCCATGCTGGTGGAGAATCAGGTAACCAGCAGTGGGTACCAATGTGGGGAGGGAGGAGAGTCCTGAAAAGCCAGGTGAGGTGGGGTGGCAGAATCATTGGGAGTTTGTCTGATGGAGTAACAGAATTCCAGGATCCCAGGGAAGGGAATGTACTCCTGAATCTGACACTTTGGGCAGCCTCAGCCTTGTCATTCTTACCTGGCACTTTGGCCTGGAAGTCATTTCTAGTTAATATGGGCTTGGATGTGCTCTGTCAAGTCCCTAGTTCCCTCAGGCCTCAGGATCTCTCTCTGTTTTTTTAATTAGTGATATGGGTTCTTAATGATGATGCCTTAAAAGTCTCCTGATATGAACTGATTCATTGGTGACGCTGAAAACATGTGATCTCTTCCCCAGTTCACAGTGAAAAGTTAGGTTTAACAGAGGTTTTTATTTTTTTCCATTTTTGTTTTTTCTTCTGTATGTGTTTTTCCAAAAATGTTGACACTTTTTGCTAAGGAACAAGAGCAGACAAGAAAAAGAATCAAGGAATAGCAAAGTAATATTCACAGAAACACCTGAAACACTCATGGTGTTGAGTCTGGCAGCTTGTTTGGTCTCCGACGACACTTGCTCAGGGATGTGTCTCTGTCACCTGCGTATAGTATTGGTTTCGCATAGTCAGATGGCTCCTAGTTTATGACACAGCGAAACACGCCACAGTGTCCTGGTGCTGTGCCACTGTTGCCATGAGCCGCTCTGCCACCTGGAAAGGATTGAAAACTGCTTCCTTCGTAGAGGACTGCAGAACCCACCTGATGCCTGAGCACGGCTTGATGTGGTTTTGACATCAGTTCCCTGCTCAGGGCTCAGGTGCCTTTCCTCCACCCCCTTCTGGCCTTTGTGACTGTTTCTCAAGTCCGTCCATCCCCACTCTCCATTCTTTTCCCCACACTGCCTTGCGAGGAACTGGTTTGAGATTCAAGTGGTGGTAAGTGCCTTTCTCTGTTTACTCTGTTTATAGACCACCATAGAGCCATGGGTTGGGTTGAGGAATGTCTAAGTGGGTGAGGGGAATTCCTATCCTGAGATGCCCAGAAATTAATTGGAGTCACCAAGCTTCCTGTCGGGAAGTAAAAGCTGGGAAATGGTTGGAAATCTTATTGAGACCGTGGTCTCTTAACCACATAGCTTAGATAAACCCAATGTCTGTCACTTCAGGGGCCTGGGAATATCTCTTAGAGAAAGCAAATGTTCCCACTCTCAGGTACTGAGCCCCTACTATGTGCCAGGCGCTTCTATAGTAGTGAACAAACTCAGTTCAGGCAGAATGAACTTGGTTCAGGTCTGAATGAGCAGGGAGGGGCCAGCATCTGGTAATGCCCTAAGAACACGAGATACTCTTATTTTGGTTTCTCTCCTCATATGCTTAGTTAAAAAAAAAAGGTGGTAGTGGAATCTTTCAGAATATGTATCTATAGTTACCAGGCATGTAGACAATGTGCTCCAGGTGCCCAGTGCAGTGTCTGTCACAGGGAAGTAATTCAATGACTGTTTCTTGAATGACTGACTGCCACCGAGGACTGGGGACCCATAGGTAGTCACGTGGAAATGTGAAAGCATGCCCTATGGAAGGCTGCCTGTCAAGGTTTCTAGATGTTCCTCCCGGCACTGAAGATTATACGAGAGAGAATCCTTCCCTACATTAGCTAGGGCTGTCCTGGGGTAGGTTTATTGGGTGTGACTAGTGTCTGTTCTTTGCAGGGCGAGATGTTAGATAACATAGAGTTGAATGTCATGCACACGGTGGACCACGTGGAGAAGGCACGGGAGGAAACTAAAAGAGCCGTGAAATACAAGGGTCAGGCCCGGAAGGTGAGACTCTCCTGCTGCCTTCAGAGAAGAGAGTCCACTTTGCTTGCTGTCTCTCGCTCTTTCTCGCTTCCCTCTCCCTGTCTCTGTTTCTGCTGCCATCACCAATTGCACCGGGGGAAAGGGAGCCATGATTGACCGTATTGAGAACAACATGGACCAGTCAGTGGGCTTCGTGGAGCGGGCCGTGGCAGATACCAAAAAGGCCGTCAAGTATCAGAGTGAAGCTCGGAGGGTGAGCACCTTAGTCTCAGCTGGCCTTACTTGCTTCTCCTCTCTCTGGTCATCCCCACCTGTGTCCGTGAGCCCATCCCTTCCCTCTCTATCCTGGCCTCATCCAAACACCTATGTCAGCCTTTCCTAGAGACTAGCTGCCCTTCCTTCCTGGGTGTGCCTTGCATGGATCTGGCTCACGGGCTCTCTACCCAAGAACCCACCCTTGAAGGCAGTTCTGTAGGTTGGATGCATTGCCCAGGGGTTGCTGCCTATCTTCTCCTGGACATGACTCATGAACTTTTGAGAAATTATGCTTGACTCCTCTGTTCTTCATCGTCTTCCACTCCAGTAGGCCAAGCCCCACGCTGCTTCTTCCCCACTCTGAACCCAATACTGTGCTGATTGCTATGTAAACATCATCTCATATCTTATGGAGCACCTATTATTTCTACTTTATAGGTGACACAGTTGAGGGTCAGCAGTTAAGTCATTGGCTTTGGGCCACCTAGTAGGTAGAGGAGTGGGATTCAATTAGATTCCAGTCATGCTCTTCCCACCGTACCACCGTATTTCCCGCCTTCTGGTGCCCTGTTGCTTGAGGACTGTTGACTATTTCTCCTGGGCTTTCATATTTTTGTTCTTCCTTTCCTTGTTTTTCTTCCAACTTTCCCTATTGCTTGTGCAGGGATTTAGAGAGCTGGGAGGTTATTTTACCGGATGAATCCAGGCTGGTTCACAACAGGACCATACTCATGCTTTCTGATCCCCAGTCACTGTACTGGGTCTGACAGGTGGAGTGTATATTAGGAGAGAGACGGACAGAAGTTTGAAGTTAGGACTATGTCAACAATGTCTTCATGGGCCTTCTTGAAAAGGAAAAATTAATCCCGTGATATCTTGGCCTGTTGCTGCTTGGAGACCTCAGGGTAGATGTTCTTATATCTCTCCACATATACAAGACTGCACTGTGAGCTGACCAAGCTCCGTATTTCCATCTGCTGGCCTTGCTAGCCAAGAAGTAACTGAAGAAATATAAAATATCCTCACGGAATGTCTTTATGTAGAGATGTAGGCTTTTTATTTGAATTGATAAGATGCTTTCTAGGTAGAGGTGAGAGGGGCTGGGTTTTGGATGAATGATTGCTTTTTGGTTGTTTGTAATAATGACTTGTTTTTGTTTCTCTTGTCCCTCTCTCCAGAAATTGATAATTATCATTGTGGTAGTAGTTGTGTTGCTGGGCATTTTAGCGTTGGTTATTGGACTGTCCGTTGGGCTGAAATAAGGGCGGCCTGAGAGGCTGCTGCACTGAAATGTAAGTAAATGGAAGGTTCTCGGGGACTCTTGATTGGCTCCCTCCTGAGAAATTAGTCTGGGATTTCAACTTCCACTTCTTCCCCTTTGCGATTGTCCTTGGACACACTGAGCTCTCTAAACTGTCAGTAGCCTGCGCATCCTTTCATCTCCTTAGAATTCTCTTCTGAGGTTCTGGCTGCAGGACTTGGGTCGGGTCTCCTGCTTGTGGATTGCTCTGTCCTGTGGATTCCGTCCCTGCTCTTGGCCTTGCAGTGTGTTTCGCCACCTCTCCTCGCATAGCTGAGTACCTCGTTTGCATTCTCCTTAGCCGGCAAGCATGCTGCTCAATTGGGTACAATCTGTGTGTTGGGATCTGGGCTTTGTCTTCTGAATTCTTACCCACTTTCATGGATGTTGGGCTTTGCTTTCTGTCTCCTTTTCAATGTAAACGAAGCTTTGATTGGGACTTAGGTCGGTAGGGTTTTGTTTGTGGCTGACTGGGTGGATATCGAATGATGTTGTAGCTGACCTTTTTGAGTGTTGAGTTGTGCCGGATGATGTACTAAACACCTTTTACACATATCACTGAATCCTCACAACACCCCTCTGAGGTAGGTGCTGTTATTATCCACATTTTACAGATGCAGACACTCAGGCTTAAGGAGAAGTTAAGTAACAGGGCAAGTTGGAACACACAGCTGATAGTGGACCTAGAAGAGTTCTTTATTACGTCTCAGCTTCTTTTTGTAAAACAAGGTAGCCATTTGTCATTGTCTGCAAAGTCTAGAGAACCATAGAGGATAGTGACTTTAAAATTTAGGCCATTTATTTCTTTAAAATCTGGTAAAAAGATTAGAGCTGACCACTGTCTCAGGGCTTCGTGTGCATAGCAGTAGCATGACAAGAATGATCTAGTTATTGGGACCGTTAAGACTTCTGTGACTTCTTAAATATTATTTCTCTCAATAAAATATAGTAGGTGTTGTTTAAAAAGAGACCTATAGAACACAGAAAAGGTGAACAGAATTAATTTTTAATATTATTGCTGATGACCTTGTGGCATGTTCACACACTCAGATGTAGTTTTACATAGTTCAGACCAGATTATCTATAGTTTTGTACCCCGTTACAAAACGAAAAGCATCATTTCACATCACTGAAATCTTTGTGAATCTAATTTTCAACACAAGATTGTGAATATACTCTGAGTTATTTAACGTTTCACCAATGTCGGAGGTTTGTTGTTATTGTTTTTCTATAACTAACAGTATGGCTAACATATAATATTTTTCTCATTTCTATTTTCTCTTTATTATAAATGCATAGAAGTCAAGTTACAGATGTAATAGATATAAATATTTTAAAACTTGGTCCGTACTATCATGTTGATACCCAGAGCTGATCCTTCACTTTATTATTTTATTTTTTTGGTGAGGAAGATTGTTCCTGAGCTAACATCTGTGCCGGTCTTCCTCTATTTTCTATGTGGGATGCCACCACAGCCTGCTTTGATGAGCAGTTTGTAGGCTGGTATGTAGGTTTGTGCCCGGGACCTGAAGCCGTGAAGCCTGGGCCGCCTAAGTGGAGTGCACAGACTCAGCACCACACCACTGGGCTGGTCCCTCTTCACTCTATTTTTGCTTCAATGTGCTGCTTCCTCCCCCTCCTCCAATAGACTAGAGCATCTGAAAGATTATTGCAGCACTAGACATCCACCTTCTTGTTGAGAGATAAGCAGCAATGGGATGATCAACCTCTTACAGGCAACCAATTGATTTTTCTTTTCATGATATTTGGAGTCTAGGCCTTGATGTGTTTTCGCTTGTAAAGTTTGAGATTTTTTGTGACTTGTAACTGTCTCATCGGAAAGTTAAAATTAAGAAAAGGTATAATAATTGATATTTTTCCATATCTTTGGATGAAAGATGTCTTGCAAATTCGTAGTGTCCCTTACTATTCCTAAGTCCAGGAATTCAGAATGTAAATTAATCATTTTTTAAAATGAGGAGACTGATGAATATATTGTTTTTAGTTGGCTTATCTGATCTCTAAGATGCTAAGTTGCTGGGCAGTAGCTGAGCTGCTTACCACAGTGTATTCCATACTGCCTAATAAGGTCAGGACTGATTGTTACTTCAGTCTGGACTCCCCTGTCCCTCCATGTGACCTGAGGGAGAGGTCTCTGAACAGGAGGGAAGGAAGACAGCTTACATTTATACGCTCCAGTTGTGTGCCAGCTGCTGCTCTAGGATAATAACGCTATCCCCATTTTCAGACGGGGATGATCTTTGCAGCTCAATGAAGTAAAGAAACTCGCCCAAGCCTACACAGCTCATAAGGTGGAGCAGCCCTAATATGACCCCCAAACTTTCCCATATTCTTTTCACTGTGCCTTTCTGCCTTCTAAGAGAAGTGGGTGGCAGGGGAGGAGTAAGGGAGAAGGAGAGTCTAGTACCAGAAAGCTCAAATGTGTATTTGAAAGGTGCTGATGTGGGCCCCGCAGCGAGAATAGGTCTTTTCAACCACTGAGCCTGCCCCCCCTCCTGACAAGTCCTTCTATGGGTCTGTGACAGCCTGTGTGAAGGATTCTAGAAGGCCCAGAGATCTTTCTGTTGTTCCCTCTCATATAATAGGCCTTTTGTTTCTTGTACAGGGGGATATTTAATTCCAGGTCCTGTCTTGAGTATGCCTATTGGATTTCTCAGGTTTAGTGTTGACTTTTTCATTGTTCTCCTTTTTGCATTTATTTCTGATCTTTCCTCTCCACTTCTAGGTCGGTGGCTGATTCTTAGTGTTGCTCTCCACCATCCTCCTGTGCACTGATCAGCTCCTCCTTCCCCTGCCTCTCTTAGAACCCGACTTCACTGCAACCTGGTGGCCACCCTTGTCTTCAGATGGGAATGGAGTTGAATGGCCTTCCTGAGAGAGAGTGGGACCTGATCTGTTTCCCTGTCACCATCCTTGGACCTGACCCAACAATAGTCTAGCCCTGGAGGAATCCTATCTACCTGATGCAACCCTGAGTTCTCCCCAAAACCTCCTCCTGCCCCACCAGCTCTGAAGTACCATCTTTCCCGGACTGTATGAACCAATCCAGCTTCTCTTTTTTCCCTCTGATGTGTCAAATTATGCCTTGTACCTTGGAAAGCCTGTTTCAGACCTTCCCAAGGTGCTGAATTTTCTACCTCATGGAGTATTCTTCTCTGAGAAATTGCAATGTATTTTTTTTTTTAAGGGGGGGTGTCTTTATCAAAGCAAAAGGATTCTTCCAAATTTGGCAAAAATAAGGCTTAACCTGAGTCTTCTACCTGGCAGGATCCCAATCCTCAGTTTGTTGTCGCTATATGCTGAAAATATGAGGGACTGGCAGATGTCATTTTGGTCTTAGAAGTGACTTGTTTGAAATTCAATCTCAAATTAAGCTCTTAGCATGTTCAGCTTGGTGGCCAGTTTCGATCTGTATGTTGTCTTCTCTCATGTTTACTCAAGGAGGCACCAGGACGATGCAGTCGTCTGAGGTTACCATTTGTAACGGCAGAGGGTGTGGGATATTTGTTTCCATGTCTGAGTCCTGGAAAGTGGCTGTTCACCATTAGAGCGATGCTTTGTGAAGCCATTGCCTTGAGGCCAAAAATAACCAGGCACTTAAAATTGGGCCAGGGACAAGGTGCTTGAGTCTCAGGCTGTGGAAATGTTTCAGGCTGGTGTGAGTATTGTCACTCATTTCATGTGTTCCAGATGTATTTTTTATAATCATGTGTGTGAGGTGTATGTGTATATATGCACGTGTCTCTCAGGAAGTAGGAAGCTAGAAGTGGAGGATATTATAACCTCAAAAAAAAAAATAACCTTGAGCTAGGCTAAAAATTAGCTAAGAGACATTTGCTTATTTGCAAATGAATCATGGTAGAAATATGATCTCCCCATGCCATCGAGAAACCTGCTGTCTTCTGGATGAGCACTGGGAGAATCACAGATCTTTGGGGTGAGAACTAAGTTGATCCCCATTAAGTTTTTCTCCTTAGCGGACAGTTGTGACAAATTTTGACACCTCTCCCCACCTGCTGCCTAGGCCAGGCTTGTCCTGAGAACATCCCACAGCAATTTGATATCATTCATGTGACCTCTGGGATGTCCTGTGTCCAGGGCTGAGTTAGGGGAGACCAGGGATTGCTGAGTAGCTCTTCCTGCTCCCAGGTTAATAAGCTTGATGGGTTCTTGTCTCCCCCAGTTCTCGTTATGGAGGAGGGAACAGCCGGGAGATTTTCAACTGTAGTGATTGGGCTGACCCAGTGCTGAGCCCCTTAGATTCCCTGCTGGTCTCTGCAGTCTGCCTGATTTATATTTCAGCTTTGACTTTAAGGCTTTCTAGGATAGGGTGAGCACCCTGATCCAGGCACTGCCCATTGGCCTCCTTCACCAAGGCTACTTACTCCAGTCATTGCCCAGCACTCAGACAGAGCCCAGAGGATGCCCTCTTGCCCAAGGCTATGATGTCGGACACTGGACTGGCTCCAGCCACAAGGGCAGACAAGCTCTAATCACAGGCCTCTGCTCTGAGATTGAGGCCTGCGGCTTCTATTTTGGAATACAAGTGAAGGTTTTTTTGTAGTTTGTATTTTTTTTAAATGTAAACTCGATTATTTTATTGCTAATTTAAAAATAAATGACTTTATATCGATTGTGAAACGGTTCTGGCTCTATTTCCCTGCAAAACACTTAGGGATTGGGTGCCCCCATGTGGTGGTTTTTGTTTAGGTTTTGGAAAGGGGTTAAAATCTTTTTAAACTGTCTCTGGATCAGATGAATCAAAAGTTCCAGTTTTTGAAAATGGTTCAACTCTCAGACTGCAGTGTAACTGCATTTGAGTTTCAGATTTGAGGTGCTCCCCTGAAGAGAATTTGGTTAATTCATTGAGACTATCTGCCTCTAGGAGGAAATGGGGTAACTCTGACATGATGGTGTCTAGAAGGCAGAACCACCTACTAAACATCCTCTGAGATTGCTTTTGATCTAATTCTGCACCTCTCACCTAGAAGTGACATTTCTCTTCACATTCTGGGTTCTAGAAGCCAGATCCATCTCCCATTTCCTTCATATCCTCTTCCCTGTCTTGATCCACTTTTGTCTCCTTTCCTTCGGAACTCTGTGTGCACAGTGATGTTGTTTCTCATGTGCTTTTTCTTTCCTTGTCTGGATGAGCAGAAGAAGATCATGATCATGATTTGCTGTGTTATCCTTGCGATCATCTTAGCTTCTACCATTGGGGGCATATTTGCCTGAAAAAGGTGAGCCATCCGTGGGGAGGGTCAGGCCTGCTTTCACTTACTTGAAGTGTCCTGAGGGCATTGTTTGTCACCAGGTACCCTAATCTGAGTGGGGTTAGGGGCTGGAATAAAGATTGGAGAAAACTAAGGAAAGAGATGTTTCATAGAAAAATGAGTGAAGAATGAGTTGGTAGTAGGTAGACGGGGAGACAGAAGGTGGCAGTCTATTCCTTAACTAGGTCTGGCAGCTTTGTTGAGAATGCTTTATAGGAGGATGTTGATAAAAAAAAAAAGGATGTTGATTTCCTGCAGCCAAATTTGGGCCATTGCATCTGGGAATAGCAAAAGGAGAAACAATTCATTCTTACATTAGAAGCAGTCTTTGGAAGAGGGCCACGTGGTAAACCCAAGGTAAATGAACTTCCTCCCTTACAGGGTTAGGACAAGTTAGCACAGCCTTGTAGGTTGAGTGATCTCTTACCCCAGCAGAAGAGGGACTTGGTGATCCTGACCTCAGACATCCTGCTGTATAATCTGTGATTTTTTTCCCTCCACTTTTCTGCTATCTCCTTCAGCCCTCACAGATGGATCCTCGACTGGCATTTTTAATCCTTCTTCCACCTCTGTGGTGCCATCACTTCTCCACTGCAGATTCCTCAGCAGCTACTCCTCTTTCCATTATGAAACTTCTTATGACACAGGGCATCAATCAACTACCTATTGAAAGTTATGCAAAGGAAGACTTATGACAGTACGGAATTGGGTGGCGGGCGGGGGTGAAGGAACAGGGAGTTCAGCAATATATGGCTGGTTAGGAAGATGGTTTAAAGGAATGGCCTGCAGGGTGAGAAGAAAGCATAATAGGTACCTGGTACCTGTTCGGGAAATAAAACTTACAGCCCGCAGTGAAGTTATGGCTGTGAAGAGGCAGATACTGTAGCATACCCAGTTCATCAGGATCTTAACTGCTGTAAGTTGATCAGCATCAGAGCATTTGTTACTTTTGCTCCTCAGGTTCTTCTAGGCCTCACCCTTGACCAACCCTACATTCTGCTTCCTTCTTCGGGGTCCAGTAGTCTTTAAAGTGAAGACTAACGATAGGCACCATGCATGTCTTGCTCACTGCTGTGTCCCCAGTGCTCAGCACAGTGCCTGCCACTTATAGGTGCTCCAGCATCTACTGACTTAATTCCCTATAATTAAGCTTTGATTTCCACTCATGGACAAGTCCTTGGTTTTGACTCTTAAGCCCTTTAAGGCATCAATGGGCAATGGTCTGTTAGTATCAGGGGCTGTGTAAAAATGCCTGGGAATGGGTTGATCCACTTAGGCAAAACTACAACAGAACCCCCATTACCACGACATATAGTCCTTTTTCTATGGATGGTCATGGTGGAGTTCTGTCTATCAATGACCTCTCACTCTGTGAAGGTGGCTGGGCCAAGGATTGTCATTCAGTAACTAAACGTGGACCTAAAACAAAAGTTAACAGGTTTATACCATGATTGAACTCCCAAAAGTCATCAATACCATGCTCTATGAATCATTAAAAGAAGAGATGAAGATGGTAGGTCACAAAGGTGAAACGAGGCTATCACTCACATCACTTCTTATCTGATTCATGTTGAGCTGACCTTGTTGGCCAGCAACGTGTGTACAAGAAACTGTTCCAAACACTGTCCCCACTTCAAGGTTCTGATGTGTTTTAATGCAATTTAGTGATGTTATAAGAGGTTCACTACAAATACATGAAAAATAGTATACAACACGAGGACCACACAACTGTTCAGATAAATTTGTACTTTCGAAAGTAAATTATTTTCTTTGCTGGAGATCTTTTTAAGAAAGTGGCATAAAAATTTTGACCTTTTAGTCAGTGTACTGTTTTCTACCCATTTTCAAAAGCAAATGGTTTAATATTTCTATCAATTTGTATTCCCTTTAGTTTGAATAGGAGATAGAAAGCTATTGCTGGCTCTCTCTGAAAAGCAGATTAATCCTGTTAAAGGCAAACAGGAAGCTGGTAGACTGGGGATCTGAATCACGTGGGGCCCTCATTGATCCAGCAGCCACTGCGAGTACTGTGTGGCACACTGCACTGTATTAGAACCAGACACTCTCCCCCTCCTCAGTTTCAGACCTGAGGCCGCACAATTTCAACCTCTGTTTTTATCAGTTCCTTTTGCTAAAAGGCAAAGGTATGTCCCTTGCCATATTGTCCAACATTCCCCTTCCAAGATTGAGAGAAGATGGGTAGCTGGGCACTAATAAATATCTGTTGAATCAATTAACCAATGTACTGTTGTTTTTTTCTTTGCTTGTCCAAAAATGTTAGTTTGTATTTGTAACTACTAAAATACATAGAAACTAGCTCCTGAAGTGTGTTTATATAAGACGTAGTACAGATAATTAAGTTCAGCTTGCATGAGAGGTTTGAGATGCAAACATTTCCCTTATCCCTAGAGATGTTCATTGTATAGGTAGGGAGACCCAGAGATCCTAACAGTCAATCAGGCCTGTTTCTTAAATATTTAAGGGATTGAGTGACCAGTGAGAAGTTATATCCTGAGGTGATGTTCAAACTTTATTTAATATAAATGCACTTTTTAAAAAAATCAACAGATATCATACAATTTTTCAGAAATCATCTACTCATATGCTGCTCCTTGGGTATGACATCAGAGCTACCCAAAGACTTTTAAGGGTAGGCTGAGGGGAATAAAATGCAGATTCCTTCTCTCTCGACAGCCTGTGTACGTTTATTTCTCACATTCTCACTACACACGTTCGGGCATGTAGAATTTGCCCCAGTATCGCCCCTTCTGGGTCAAGTCATATGGGCTCAGTACTTTCCGTATCCCCAGCATGTTGGCAGTGGCTATGCGCTCAAAGGTCCAGGGGTTTTGGTTATTACGTTCTCGTTCCTCTTGATCTTTCCGCATCTTCTCTAGAGTCTCACGGCTCACAGCCTTTGCTGGGAAGGGCAACTTGTGGGCAACCTGGTCGAGAAAACCTTGTACCTCCTTGAATTCACAGCGCCCACCCATCTCTACTATGAGGCGGCCAGTCTTCACGGGAGTCACGTAGTGATCAATGGCACCTTTGCCTCCCCCCATGCGCTGTCCCATACCCTTGCGGGTAATGGGCTTGAAAGGGGCCGGTACCCGCCACAAGGCAAACATGTTCTTGGGGTCCATAGAGCGGTTGATTGTCAGGCGCATCATTTCAAAATGGCCCCAATGGAGGTAACCACCACCCAGTGCCTAAAAGTGAATGGAAGAATTAGAAACACATGGGGATTTAGATATCTTTCATGGGCTCTATTCTTATGTCTCTTCTTTCATAGTCACGGTGGCTTCAATGATACACATAAAAATAAAAATATAAGTTCTAATAAGTACCATGGAGGAAAAGTCTAGAGTACAGTAATAAATGAGAACAAAGGTGGACTCACTTCAATGGATAGCCAGGGAAGGCCTTTTTGAGGTGACATTTAAAACTGAGGCCAGAACAGTAAGAACTAGCCAAAGGAAAACAGACGAACGTTCCAGGCAGAGGAATGGTGTATCTGAAGATCTTGACAAAGCAAAGGGCTTGGTGAGTTTGAGCAGAAGCCAGTGTGGCTGGAGCAGAGGGAGGAATGGGGCAATGGCCATGAGGTTCTGAGGCAGGCAGGGGCTGCTCACGCAGGCTGTGGGAAGAGGACTTGAAGTCACATCACTCTGGCTGCCTGATGGGAAATAAACCCTAGACCACACCCATCTGTCACTACTGACACCAAGTCATCATGGAAGCTACGTGATGAGTAAGGAAACAGCTGTCCCACATCTTAAGTCATGGATAGTGTTATTTTTAGCAGAGGCTTAAGAAGATCTCATGGTCTGATTGTGGGGTAAGTTAGGTAACCTCTTCCTTCTGCTTTTACATTATTTTCACTCTACATTAAAAAAAGATACAAACTCAAATGTTTACTGGGTGGTGCACATCAGTGTAAACAGCAACTGGTGGCACTTCTAATAAAACCTGTGGAGGAAGAGACGAGGATTAACTCAAAGAATATGACATTTTGCCAATCCTTGGCTTCCATCCTGTGGCTGCTTGACGCTGAACTCACTCACCAAGATTGCAAAATTGCCTTCTGTGAACTCAGTAGCTTCAGTGGAAGGTCCTCGTATGTCACTCAAGTTTTTAGGTTCTCTTCTCACTTTTGGCACAAGTGGTACCCTTTCAACAAATCTAAGCTTGGGCTTTTCAGGAATGGAAACATCTAAAAGGAGCACAGACAACCAAGAATACGTAAAACTACACATCTCAAAGGACTCATTTTCTTCCTAGAAAGATTTATAACCATCAGGTGAAAGTCTTAAAGTTACCACTGACCAATAATTTTGAAAGTATATTGGGTTTTTCTTGTGGATGCTTTTATTGACACTGGAATCTTTTGGCAATGACAACAGTTAATGCAAGTATTTCTGAACATTTGAAGATGGCAAAGTTTTAACCTTCAAACCAAAATGCACTTACTAAATACCTACTCTGTGCCTAACACTATAAAAGATACTGTTTGGGAAGGCATAGAGCTATAAGACTGTCGCAGAATAACACTAGCTAACATTTTTCTCTGAGCTGAATGCTTTTCATGCATTATCCTATTTAATCTTTTTTTTTTTTCTAAGGAAGATTAGCCCTGAGCTAACTGCTGCCAATCCTCCTCTTTTTTCTGAGGAAGACTGGCCCTGAGCTAACATCCGTGCCCATCTTTCTCTACTTCCTATGTGGGACGCCTACCACAGCATGGCGTGCCAAGTGGTGCCATGTCCGCACCCGGGATCTGAACCAGCAAACCCTGGGCCACCGAAGCAGAACGTGCGCACTTAACCACTGCGCCACCAGGCCGGCCCCCTTATTTAACCTTTTAAAACAACTTCATTGCCTGGGCAATTTTTTAGGGCTTCCTTTTTTAAAATTTTAACTTTTTAAAGTTTAACACACATACATGAAAGGGCCAAATAAAAATATGTACAGCTTAAGGAATTATCACAAAGTGAACACACAAACACACCCACAAGACTATCACTCAGATCAAGAGACAGAACATTAGGCAGGTAGTATTGTTCTCCATCTCATAGAAAAGGAACTTGAGGCCTAGACATTTTACAATTTGGTCTAGATCATCTGGTTAAAACGGCAAAGCCAGACCGCATGACACTGCTTTTTTTAAACGACCACACCACCTCTTTGATTGTTAATGGGGGTAGTGGAAAGAATACTATATTGTACATGAAAATATCTAAGTTCTCCTGCTCTGCCACATTCTTGTTGGCAAACTCACAACCTAGGAATCTTTAGATCAATGCTCTTTCCTTTATTTATGCAAAGGCTTTTCATGCTGAGAACTGTACATTTCCTACAACGTGCAACAGCTTGCTGAGTGAGAGTGGGTGGGCTGAAATGTGGGCTGGGTGTCTTTATGATGTCTGAGATTTTGACAATTTGGGCAAAAAAAAATTACTAACTTGTAAGTCAGTTAAAACATTTTTATAGTAAAACAATCATGATTGTATGATGGAGTCAAATACAAAACAGGAGATTTCAAGGAATATCAAATTATTAGTGGTCTATTCAGGGTTACAGAAACTGCTGCCCAGTTTCTACACGCAGCTGTAGAGAAACTCAGTAAAGCTTTCTCTCGCCTCCAAGTCCATACATACTTCCAGAGCATGTAGTAGTTTAAGGGTTACGTATAGAAGATAACACCCTCAGAGGTCAAGGCCCTTTCTTTGTTTTTTTGAGATTTCCAATATATTTTTATAAAGTGGCTTGCCTTAAATGTTTATGTTTAACAAATTAATGCTTTTCACATAATACTGTTAAATGACTACATATATGTAACCTCATTTGGCTAGAACATCAAAAGTCCAAATTTGAGGCCAGTTAGCCCTAGCGGAGGGTGCACCGTGGGCCACAGGGAAGATCCCTTTACACATTTGCTCCATAAAATCAGGGTCCTTTTTTGGGTCTCTTTTGTTCTTTGATTTATCTCTACCGCTTAGAACACTGCTCTGCTTGGCATACTGTATTAGTGAACGAGTGAATGGGGATTGGATAAGCACACCACCACCCCGGCATCTTCATCTACCCTCTGCTGGTTCCATCAGAGAAAAGATAAACATGAAAACGACAGATAAGCTCTCACCCTCAAAAGTTGGCACCGGGAGCAGCGTCTTTAGGCCAGCACTGGCGGGCGGGGAGGCCCAAGAATCTACAAAGACAAACCAAGTTAAAAGAGGACGACGACAAGGCCAGAGCCTAGTGCAACCTGGGCTAAGGACACTCCTGACCGAGGTGTCTTGAGGGATGGGACGCGGGTTCCAATCAGGCTCCTAAAGAGGCCAGCGGGGTCTCTGGGCGCCGACCCCCAGGCACGCCTGCGACCCTTCTGCACGAATTTTACGGCGGGAAAGCGCAGCCCCTCCCAGAGCTTCAGCCACCCTATGCGGAGCCGCCTTTGAGTTTGCGGGATGAAGGACGGGGGCAGGGAGGACCAAAAGGAAGACTGTGAAGGACCAAGGGGACGTCCGACCTGATAAAGGCACGCGCAGGAGGGGCGCACTGGCCCGAGCCAGCAGCCGCCACATGGTCACCCGCGTCCGTCCGCGCCGGGCTTCCCGCAGCCACGCCGGCGACGACCTTAACCCGGGCGGACAGCACGGCGTTCTAGAGTCACGCTAGAACCGCCGCCGGACGGCGGTGCGTGGGACCGGAAGTTGCACGCGCCCCGGTCCACTCCGCAGAGAGTCCCGGCGGAAGCTGAAGAACTCGGAGCCTCGGTGCTTGGGTTCCGGCACTGGTGGTGCTCTTGGGTTCTGGAGTCTTTGTCTAGAGTAGGGCAGGGCGGCAGGGCGGCAGGGCGGCAGGGCGGCAGGGCGGCAGGGCGGCAGGGCGGCAGGGCGGCAGGGCGGCAGGGCGAGGAGTGCTTTCCGCGGGGTCCGGCGCTGAGAAAGCCTGTGTTCACGGAGTAAGTTGGTTCTTTACAACTCGCTCCATTACGCCGCTTCTCTAGGGGCGCCCTCAAAGACTAGGAAAATCCCACTGGTTCATTATTGTCTTAACATTTACTGGGCGCTTGCAAGGTGTCAGGCATCGAATACCTTATCATTGCATTTACCTCCCAACAAATCTACGAGATAAGTAAATCATTATATCCATTTTGCAGAGTTCATCCCGAGGGTCAAAGGATTTAGCTTTCGCAGGGTCATACGGCAGGAAAACAGTACAGTCAGAATTTGAG